TTAATTTTATTTCTCCTGTTCGCTTCAGACCTGGGAGGGAGAAAAATAATTGCAGTGACACATTCGTGTTGTTTGAGGTCTGGGCCTTCTTTAGTGGCGTGGAAGTCATGATGCATCCTCTGTTTTTTTCTCGTTTGGAAAAGCCGTGAGTCAGATGACCTCATTGAAAATGTGCTTCCCTTTTCTCCACGCAGCCGATGAGTGGTAGGAGTGCTGGTCTGGAGCACGGATTACGGCTTTTCACACGTGGCTGTGGTGTTTGCAGAAGCCAAGTTTGCATTGTTAGTTGGCAATCCTTGGCTGCCCATAGGGCGCACTGCTGTTGACCGTTGTCCCCATCGTTGACCCAGTATTTTCCAAGCAGCCCCCGTATAAACAAGTACATGACAAAATGCTAGGAGCTGGCTCAGGTCATGCGAGGATGTGTAAGATGCTGTCTCTGCACTTAAAAGAGTGTATCCACAGGACAGGAGCAAAACAGAGCCCCCCACCCCCCAAGAAAGGTGTAAGAAACAATGATTTGGGTGGTTTGGGAAAGTCTGTCAACCACCCCTTCAGGGGACGTACTGCTCAAAGTGAGCACGAGCGTTATCTGTTCCCTTAGCAGTTCTGCATGCCTGGCTGCTTCTCCTCACTCCCCCTGGCACATGTTGGCCATAGTGTTTAAAGTATTTTATTTGCTGTGTTACAGTAGCACAACCCGGTTGCTTACTGTGATACCACTGGAAGAATAGTAGGCTGGAGGACAGATTGGGTTTGTTGGACTCCCAATAGTGGCCAAACCAGTACAGTGTCTTTTACAAGGGCTTCAAGGTTTTTAAGGGTAATTCTGATAATAATTTATGTCTATGGGCTGGTTGACTTTAAAACTAACCTAAGAAGATGCAACCTCATTTATTTGTTAAGCACCAAGTGAGTGTATAGATAGTACAAACCATAGGCATTTCAAAAAAAGAGAGAGAGAGAGAGAATTTTCAGGTCAAGACATCAAAGCAAAGAAGAAGATAGACAACTTCAGTGACTGGTTTTTCAAAATCTTACCAAGAAAGAGCCAAGCTGTGATCATGGCCACGGAGGCAGTGAGGGGGGAAACACAGTAGCATTGTTGTCCTGTGTATTGTTCCTGCCCTGGGGTTATCAGCAGGAAGGAGTGGAGATCCAAGCAGCTCTGGACCAGGATTATGGCAGGTATCATGGACAACAGGCAGAGCATCTAATTGGAGACCCTTCACATGAAGATAGGACCCCAAAGGGCTGTATTCCCCATGTAAAGGTCAACCAGAAATAAACCTTCCCTTCCCATTTTACCTCTTCTCCCTCAGGCATTGAAAGAAAATTGCCAATCTGGAGCCTGGGTGCTGAGTGAGATGGAGTAGGGGACTGTCCCCTGATGACTTATAACCACAAACTAGCCCTAGGTTGGGCATAATTCATATTCCCTAGTTACCCTGAAAAACTTCAAATGGAGAATTTAATCTAAGGTGATCCAAAGCTAATAGCGACCCCAGGCACATATACTTTGCAAATGCATATTTTTTCGGGAAGAATCTTCCTTCAACTCAAATCTCAAATAATTCTTACAGCTAAAGGTCTAAGAACTGTGAGATCACAGTTTAAAAGCACAAAACAAATAAGGAATCGTTGCATCATAAGCGAAAGTCAGCAAAGTAACAAATAACAACAATATTAGACCCACAAAGACTAAGATACTGAAATTACCAGACAATGAAAAATAAATTTTCTCATGTGTTTAGTAAATTGAGGGAGTAAAAGTATGAGTAAAATCAAAAGATTAAAATTATGACTAAGCAGATTTGAAAAAGAACTGTGTAGTAATTTAGAATTGCAAAGATACAGTAATTACAGTTTTCAAATCCATGAGTGGGCTTAACTGCAGGTTAGAGGTTAAAGATATTTAATGAGCTCAGAGATATTTTTAAAGAAATTACATGAACTGCGGGACAGAAAGAAAAAGTGATGAAAAGCCAAATGAGAGGACCTGATAGATATTTAGACAATTGGAGTTCTAGAAAGAAACATTTGAAAAGAGACAGTGACAATATTTGAAGGGATAATGGCTAAAAATATTCCAAAAACTAATGGAAGATACAACTGGCTACAGTGACTCATAAGAAATCCACATCTAGACATACCATACTTTGGAATACTAAAGACAAAAGATGTTAAATTTAAGCCCCTCACGGCCAAGGAAGGCTTTCCAAAGGAATGCCAGCTTGATAACAGTGTGCCCTTCGACAGCAGTAGTAGAGCCAAACTACGGTGTGATGTTGCCTTTGGTGAGAAAAAATAAGACCCCTCCAGAAATGTATTTTAAGCAAAAATATCTTTCATGAATGAGGATGAAATAAAGACATTTTCCAACATGTAAAATCCAGACAAATTTGGCATCGGTAAAACTTCACAGAAGGAAAGATTCTAAAGAATAGACTTCAAACAGAGGAAGATGATACCAGAGAAAGGTCTGAGATGCCAAAACTGACTTATGAGCAAAGAATGTAGAAAAACACGAGCAAATAAAAGCATAATAATCAATAAAGTAATCCTGTTCTTGGGAAGTTCAAAAAGGAAGGGGATGAAAATAGCCAACACCAGTATTGTGTTAAGCAAGACAGAAGGTATGATCAGAGTTAAGTAGTCTAACTTTACCTTGTAAAGCAAAAAGGTAAAGCTGATGATTCATTTCAGCTTTCCGTAATCAGTATATACAAATGCAAAAATAAATAGAGTAACTACTAAAAGAATAGAAATTATAAAACTTGAAGGAGGAAAAGAAAACACATGAGTATGGATGAATAGAAAGCACAACTTAAGATGGGGCGTGGGTGGCTCAGTTGGTTAAACACCCAACCTTCGATTTCAGCTCAGGTCATAATCTCCGGAGTTCTGAGATCGAGCCCCACATTGGACTCCACGCTCAGCAGGGAGTTGCTTGAAGATTCTCTCCCTGTGCCACTCTAATATAAATAAATCTTTAAAGAAGAACCCAACTTAAGACAGTAGAAATAAATAAAAGTATTTGTAATTACAAAAATGTGAGTGGACTTAACGTTCCAGTTAAAGTGAAAGATTGATTCACTCAGCAAATACTTACTGAGCCGCTACACTAGGCATATAGCACAGAGCAGTGAATAAAACAGCCCCAGAACCTTAACTGGAGATACAGACAACAAACCACCTAAGAAACACAGATAGTATGTTACATAATGATGAGTGTTCTAGAGAAAAAATAAAACTATACAAGATAGAGAATGGGGAGAGTGACTAAACTTAAAAAATAATAAAATAAAACAGTTTGCAAGTTGTATATGTTTTAACAATGGTGCAATTGCTTTGGAAACAAGGTTAGCAGTTTCTTAAACCTTTAAGCTTAGGGTTACCATATGACCCAGCAGAAATAAAAACATATGTCCAGACAAAACCTTGTACATGATTGTTTATAGCGGCATGACTGCTAATATCTGGGAGGCAGAAACAACCCCAATGGCCATCAAGGGATGAATGAATAAATAAAATACACACACAATGGAGTATTATTCAGCCATAAAAAGGCAGACAGAACCGCTCCATGCTATAACACAGATGACCGTTAAAAACATTATGCCAAGTGAAAGAAGCCAGACACAAAAGACCACATATTGCATGAATCCACTCATATGAAATGTCTAGAAGAGGCAAACCTACAGGACAGAAAACAGATTAGTGGTTGCCTAGGGCCAGAGGACAAGATGAACAAGGGCAATGGCTAGTAGGTGTAGGTTTCATCTCCTTGGAATGAAAATGTTCTAGAATTGATTGAGGTGATGGAGGCATAACTCTGAATATACTATAAGCCACTGGATTATACTCATTAAATGGGTGCATTGTATGCTGTGTGGCTTATATCTCAATAGAGCTGTTTTATTTTTTTAAATCAATAAACAGTAACCTCAATAAGAAAATAACCAAAAGCCATGTCCAGGCATTTCATGGAAGAAAAAAACATGTATGCACAATAGATACTTGGACAGAGGCTCAACCTCATTCCTAATTGGGACAATGCTCATTAAAACCGCAGTAGTGGTACACATTGTGTGCCCACTGGACTAGCAAATATTTTACACTCAGGCAATCCCCCTTCTCCACATGTAGGGGAGGTAGAGAAGCTGCCCTGGGGGTTGGAAGGGGGAATTGGTGCAAACAACTTGGGAATGTAATAGGGCATTATTTTTAGAGGATCGAAGATGGAAGCATCCAGGAACCAGCAGTTACACTCCTAAGTATATAACTGAAGAAGTTTTCCCAGCTGTGTGCTGAGATCACGTATAATAATAGTTACGGCAGCACTGTCAGACTGAACCACAAAATTGTGAAAACAACACAACTTTTATGGTTAGGAGTGTATGTAATAAATAAACCTGTTTTTAAAAACCAAACAAGGGAGAGAGAAACACAGAATTCAGGAGAGTGGAAACGGGAAGGCAGTGGGAGGGCCTCACAGGGGATTCTCGGTGAGAGTAATGTCCTTGTAAACTGGGTGGTGGGATGTCGGTATGATCAGGATGGGAACAGCGGTCCAAGGCAGAGTGCATTCCGACAACCCAGCATTCAGCAAACACTTACACAACTCAGAAGCGTACATGGAACAGTTTTTCCCTGTAATTCAACACCGAACGCTAATAATGCTGACCTTACATTTCTAGAAAAGCTTAACATATTCAGCATGTTATATTTAAGAAGCAAAAGGGATAAAATGTTCTTATCCAGATAAAAAGCAAAAAGAAGGGAGGAACTAAGAAAAGCACAGAAAAAAGCAGCAGAACAGGAATGTGTTAGGTTTCCAACCAAGTGGTTAAAACAAAAAGTCTTCAAGTTCAAGGTGAACATTTATTTGGCCACAACTTCTTTAGTCTTCAGTAGTGTTAACTAAACCAGACGTTGCTGTAAATAAAACCCCACACTCTTCATTTTGGTCACTTAGCAGCTGGTTCTCTCTCTTTCAGATCCCGCTCACACTAAAAGATGAACCGCGACTGCCCAGAAGAACCTATTTGCCACTCCCGCACCTGCGGGGGCGTGACCGAGGCTGAAGCATCCACCTGCGCTGCGAGGGGTCCACGGTACTTTTTTTCTTTTCTTTTCTTTCTTTCTTTCTTTTTTCTTCTTTTTTTTTTGCTGCCTCAGTCCCCAGAGCCTTCAAGCAACAGTGGCAGTAGATTGTTGCCAATCAGCCAATCCAGACTTTTACTGAGATGACGGGAAAACACATCAGCTGGGTTTTGACCGAACTTGGCAGTGGGGACATTCAGCTGATACGTTCTATACCCCATCAGAGCACACATGTATCTTCTATCCCTTTTAGCCTCCTCCACAAATCTGCTTAGGCCTTCTCTGTCCCTCCCCTGCTACCACACAGAGATGATATAAAAGAGGCTCTTTGGCTATTTGCATTTTGCTTCCTCTTCTTTTCCAGATTGCAGAATTAAGCTTTACTTCCTACAAGCCTAAAATCCCAACAACATTATCTACCAAAGTTGTTCTTCCCTTTTCCAAGGGTTCGGGGGAAGGGGGAAGCACGCATCACAAGTTTCCCGGAGAGTGGAGGAAAGTCAGTGTGCTGCTGACCACATGAGCCATGGCGAAGGCACCCTTTGGAATTACTGATTTCTAAAATTAATAAAGTAATTCTATTTTTATTTTCTTTTTTCCATGTACTAATTTCCCAACAATCAGTACTCACAAACAAGCCTGAAGTGGGACCAACTTCTCGTTTCCTTTCATTGCTGGGCAGTTTTTTAAACTTCACTTTAGAAATGTGAACTACAAAGAGATGTTTTATTCTTCCATTTGGTTTCAGCAGATGGTGGGTCCAGGCTGTTCCCCACGAGCAGCTCCTGAACCTGGGAAGCTCGTATGTGCACATGTCTCCATCATCAGCCCGCAGTGGACAGGTCCTCTAGGGGTCCTCGTCAGAATGAGGCGGCACAGCCCCCCCCCACCCCCGATGCCTTTCCACTTGACCTCTGCTCCCTCTCCTCCCCTTTCCCTGGTCCCCTCTCTGGCTTCTACTGAAGATAAAGTTTGAAGGGCCGACAGCTACCCTGGGGAGTTTCTGGGGGAGGATCCAGAGTCTGGGTTTTTCTACAGCAAGGTACTCTAGACTGAGCATTGAAACCCACAAGGAGAATTGATGCCCAACAAGGCAGAGAGAAAAGGGACTTTATTGACCTCTCAGTGAGTGCAAACAGGTTTGAGCACAGGGAAGCATTTTGTTTGCTTGTGAGGAATGAAGACTGTCACTTGAGGGAGGGGAGAGAATGTATTCCTGATGTGCCTGGGACTTCTGGTTAGTAGTCTGAGGACCATCTGAACTGTTGGCCAACTTGGTTGTGAACTGGGTAGGAGACAATTCCTTCCTGACTCCCCGGTGATGTGTAGAACTGGGATATAAGGTACATGGGAGACTCCATGTATGGATCATGTGAGAAAGGATAAGAGGGCATGAGGCCAGGACAAGAACTCGGAGACCAGCTAGACTGTGTGGAATTGCCCTAGGTAGCCGTTAGAATCGGGTCCTCAGGCTCATTTCTTACTGCACACCCCATGTGCTTATCAGCTGTTAAGACCAGACTCCAGACTCTTTCATTTAAGCAAGTACTTTTCGTGTCGTTTTTACTGGTACTGGACTTCTCTTGGTAATAAACGAGACCAATCATATGATTCCACCCTCCAAAAATGGTGTCATTTCCAGTGTCCCTCCCTCCCCCTCCCCCGAAATAAGTGTGTATCTTTTCAGACAGACAGACAATGGCTCAAGTTTCTGTAGTGCCTCTCAATGACCCGTGGAATGGAGAGGCTGAACTTCAGACCCCCGCCCATATTTGTATCTGCTGATAAAGATAAGAATAGAGCTCTCGTATAAAAAGAACATTTGGAATCACAGTGTGTTCTGTTTTCTTTGGGATACTTAGGGAAACATAACTCATTGCCTTGGTTCACTAGGATGAGCCACAGGCCAACATTCTAGTGACGTCCTGTGAGGTTGGAGAAGAAAGAAGGTTTATTCTAGGGTCAAAAAGATTATTCCCTGCTTTCTTAAGTAAGCCTCAAGGAAGGACCAGTGATGTCATATATGACACTGCTGCTCAAAATGTAGTTTTTAGGCAGCCTGGACCCTCCCCCAACGCCTGAAGGTATCTCTAAAGCTACAGGCTGAAATTGCACTTTTTTTTAAAGTCACTTTATTTTTTATTACTGTGTTCAGATAAACACTTGGGTGTTTCTCATGCCCAGTGAAACTCGAGAGTAGCTGCCACGAGTTAAAAGACTGCAGCTTGGGAAAGCAATGGCCCATGGCCATGGGCACGCTGCATCCCCTCTAGGCCCACTAGCTCCCTTGGGTAAGGTGGACCACAGACCCAGCAGCCATGATTTTAGGGCAGGGACACAGCCCCCCAAACACTGTGGAAGTGAATGGGTGCCACAGGGGATGAAGCCTGAGAGAAAAGCTCTTAGAACTGGCTGGGCATGGACAAAGCAGGAAAGAAGGTCTTGACCAAACTCAGGAATTCAATTTGGGAGAATTCCAGAAGGAGCAAGATACCCACATCTACACACACACACACACACACACACAGGCAAGAACATATCCCATAGACCCTTCAACCTGCAAATTTAGCTTCAAATAGACTTTTTCACCAACAGTAAGGGGATTTCAGTAGAGGAACATGTTTTTTAGATGGTTCCTCTGCATTGCAGACGGTTGCTTCAGGTGGACATTAATACCACGGTAGAATTCTGCATCGCTCTGGGATCTGTGACCGCAAAAGAGAACTATGGGATTGCACTTCCTCGCCCTCTCCTATCCCCAAATCACTGACAGAGGCGTTCCTGGCAGGCTTCCCCGATAACAGAACTAGCCTCATCTTCTTCAGCCGTTTGCCACAGACAGTTTCTGTAATTCTCAACTGCCTCAAGGGTGAGATTAGATTTTCAAAAATAACGAGGTTCGTAATTTATAGCACAGGTACAAACGAACACATTTCCACAGTCAAGGGTTCACCGCAAATGATTTTTGCCCAGTTAAATGTAGGTCACGTTCATACAACTTTCTGCAAATCTGAGCCACTGCCTCTGTGTGTATGAGAACAAAATAACTCCACAAGAAGGAAGGGAACACAGACGGTTCAGTCTTTTCAGACAGCAGAAGGTAGAGCGGCGTCCCACCGTCCAAGGTGTGCACACTAAGCAACGCTTTCCACGTTTGAGACACTCTGCCCCCTGTGCCAGTTACCTCAGGTTAGTAGACACGAACATGGGATTAAGAAAAGAGCAATCAAGGATATTTATCCAGTCAGACTGAACACCTTAGGATAGGCTTTTACTGTTCTAGAGACAATCTTCCAGAAGATGAAATGATCCAAGATACCCCAAAAATATTTATTTATACAAAGATTTTGAGAGTAATATTTGTATTTGTCTTTATACCTCAGTCTACGTGTCTGGGGCCAAGTCATTGTGTGGCGTGTGTGTGACCTCCCCGCACGCCTCACCCATTCTAGCACCTTCTTCCAGGAACACCAGATGAACGCAGGGTCTGGGGTGGGGGGAGGAAACCCATAATGCCCCAAGAGTGCACAGACCCCAAATCCCAATATGTGCGCCCTGCCCTGGAAGGTGTCTAGCCATATGTCCGAGGGGAAATGCGATCGAGGAAGAAGGCGAGAGGAGGGACCCAGAGGGCAGATAGGAGAGCGTTCGTTCCCACCCTCTTCTTCTGAGTTCAGCGTGTCCAGATGGCCCCACAGAGTTGACGGCCCAGGAACTCCATTCCCTGGATTTTTCTCCCTGTACTGACCCTTGGTGCTGCTGATTGATGTTGAGAGGACAATTTGCAAAAATAACACATTCCTCCTTAATCCCAGGTAGCCCAAGATACAATTCTGGGACTTTGTCTAGGTCACCTGTCTGAAGGAAAATGCTTGCCTTGAATAAGGTAATCCCCATTCCCTAGAGCAGATGTGGGGCAGCAATGAGCCCGTCTGACCTCAGAAGTGTCTTCGGGCCTGGCCCTGTCCCGGCTGTTCTCTGCCCTTCCTCCTCCCTAGGGTATCCCAGATCCATTGTCGCCTGATGCGTCCCCGTGTCGACTTGCCATCCCTCTTCCTCTGTCCCCACCACCTCCGTCTACGTCACAGAAAATCTGTGTATTCTGAAGAGTTGGGCCTTCCCCTAACCAAACCCACACTTTCTTTACCACAGTGATTCCCAGAGCCAGCAAGGAGGAGAAATGTCCCGAAAGGGAACTTCCATCTCGGCCATCCGCCCGGAGCCGAAGGTTGTGGGCTCCGGGCCTCTAGGTGAGGTCTGTTGCTTTTGTTTCCCGAGGAGCAGGTGGTCAGGCGGTGGCAGTCCTCTGTCCTCTCTCTCTGTCGCAGGCAGGGTCTCAGCTACACTTACAGGACTTGACCACCATGTTAGACAGCTGTTCCACCTTGGGGGTCCTCCCGACATAGTACAGGATGGTCAGGGGCTCCAAGTCCTGGGGCACACAGCAAGGTGAGGCGGATGCTTCAGGATTCAGGGTGTTGTACAGTCCCAGCACCTGGGGAGGACACATCATTTAGAGGGTGGCAGGCCAAGCCGCAGGCCTGGAGCCCTCTACCGCGTTCTGGGGGCCTCTCCAGAGACAGCCGCTTACAGACTGGCCATGGATGCTGTCTGGGTGTGGGTGAACACCTATACTGTGTGGGCTGAGTGTTATCAGGCTAAGCCGATAACAACTAGTGGGTGACTTGAAATGCATCATGAAATTTTCTTAGCTGTTAGGAGACACTACTGGTTTTGCTAGCTGTAATGGTTACTCCGGTGTGAGAAGCAATCTCACTAAATGCTGCTTTGGGCCATTTAGTAAGCCCCAGAGTGTGGGACCCCAGACAGGATGCAGTAACCATGAGCTCTCCGGAACCATGCTTCCCAAAGGACTGCCCTATTTCCAATTCCCCTCGAGGGAAAGAAAGGCAAGCTAGTGTCAGAATCCTGACTTCCCCCTCTCTCTCTTTTCCTTCCCATTGTTGCCTGTAAGCTTCTTCTGTGTGCTTTGCATGATCTTTCAAAATCCCAAGAGGCTGGAATTTCCAGTCCTTTCACTGATGGTGGAAGCCTTTCTGCCCCAACATCCCTTGCTAGCCGTGCATGTGCGTCTCTGACGTACGGTGTTGGGACAGTGCATTAATTGCCAGAATGGTACAAAAGCTTTATACAGAACAAATTAAAAAAAGGCTGGTTGAAACCATGGAGGAAATTTTAAAGGGCAGAATGTGGCATAGAATCAGCCCAGGATGCCAAGATCAGAACCTTCAGCAAAGAGATTTTACTCTCCCTAGATCTTTATTCTCTCATTCAACATTCAGTCCTCACGCATTCATGTGAACGAGTGGCCCAGCGGGCACGGCCCCAGGGCCCCACATCGCATAGCCCCGCTCCATACCGTGCTGTGGGTTGTGTCCGCGCTGCGGAGGTAGGGACAAGGGCCTGAGCAGAAGTTGGCGTAGTAGCCCTTAGGTTCATGGACCCATTTCCAGCCCAGATCTTGTCGGAAGTCAATGTAGAGAGGGCGCACACAGCAGTTCTCCTCCAGATTGCTACAACAACAAATAAACATTTATAGGCCATCAACCTAAAGGAAATCGATATCAAAAACTTCAACGGCCCTCATATTTGTACCTGGAGTCCTTCCTGGTCATCCTAAGAGGTGGCCCTAATCCATGGAATCCCACATTCAAGTGCATTGAGCAGTACATACCATAAAAGCATCTTCCCGTACTGAAGACCATGATCCCAAGGGCATAATAGGCAGATAAAGACAAGGCATGAGGAAGAGGACAAAAGGCAAAGGTGGTCCTGCCTCTGTTTACATCATAGATCAAAGCGGAGACATAAATCGCTTCACATAAAACCAGGTGCTGCATGTTCTCGGCCAGCTCAGCTTTGTGGAGGTTCGTTTTATTGTTACCTTCCTAAGGAGCACTCAGCGAGACGTGAACTCTAAGCTCATGTGGCTTACATACATTAGCCTGTGAACACAGGAAACATGGCGGACTGCAGAGAGAGAGCCTGTATTCCCAACGGTGTAATTAGGCAGCCAGACCAACCCTGAACCTGCTGCTACAGGCTTCTTGTGAAAGAAATCCTTTGTGGTTTAGGCCACTGTTCCTTGCAGCCAAGAGCACCCATTCCTAACTGATTATGAGCCACACAGGGCAAACCTACATGCCAGCCTTCAGATAGTTGGCAGCCAACTACATTGCCTCTACTACACCTTCAGGTTCAACATCCCTCGTTCACTCAGTCCCTCCTTATAAGACATGGGTTTAGATCTAAAGCTCTAATTCATTCTCCCCGGCTCCATTCAGGCATCCTCCTCCCCAGCCAAACTGACCCATTCGTGTTCCTTCCTTCCTCCCTTTATGCCCCAACATGCCCAAACCTCACTCACCTACCAAGGCTCACATTGTGCGCCCTTCGTAAGCCTTTCCTGCATCCACAGATGCACTACTTGCTCCCGATTCTTTTTTTTTTTTTTAAAGATTTTATTTATTTATTTGACAGACAGCGAGATCACAAGTAGGCAGAGAGGCAGGCAGAGAGAGAGGAAGGGAAGCAGGCTCCCTGCTGAGCAGAGAGCCCGATGCGGGACTCGATCCCAGGACCCTGAGATCATGACCTGAGCCGAAGGCAGCGGCTTAACCCACTGAGCCACCCAGGCGCCCCTTGCTCCCGATTCTTAAAGCACCCTATCCTTCAGACCTTCTCGCGGATGTGGTCATTTCCTGCCTTTTAGTCATTGCTAGGTGTGTTTTATCATCCCCTCATAAAAGAGGAAGAAAACTAAAGAGAAGGGGCTCACTCTTTTTTTGTCTTCACAGTGGCTTCCTAGTACTTCTGAATTAGTTCGTTAATTTCTCCAGCTCCAAATGCCCTGGTACACGGAGACTGCCCTCTTTCCCCTCACCCAGGAGCATCCTTGGACAGTTCACAAGGAACCGAGCACTCCTTTCATGGAAAAGCCCTGCATTCAACTGGTGCAGCCACTCTGGAAAACAGTATGGAGTTTCCTCAGAAAGTTAAAACTAGAGCTACCCTACGACCCAGCAGTTGCACTACTAGGTATTTTTCCGAAGTACAGATTTGAAGGGGTATATGCACCTTGAAGTTTACAGCAGCATTATCAACAATAGCCAAACTACAGAGAGAGCCCAAGTGCCCCTCCACTGAGGAATGGATAAAGAAGACGTGGGTATATCTACACTGGAATACTACTCAGCCGTCAAAAAGAATGAAATCTTGCCATTTACAATGACATGGATGGAGCTAGAGAGTACGATGCTAAGCAAAATGAGTCATAGAAAGACATACCATGATTTTACTCATATATGGAATTTAGGAAACAGAACAGATGTACATAGGGAAAAGAGGAAAAAAAGAGAAGGAAGAAAACCATAAAAGACTCTTCACGATAGAGAACAAACTGAGGGTTGCTGGAGGGGAGGGGAGTGGGGGGACAGGCTAGATGGGGGATGGGCATTAAGGAGGGCACTTGTGATGCTGAGCACGGGGTGTTGGATATAAGGGATGAAGCACTAAATTCTACTCCTGAAATCAATATGACCCCATATGCTAACTAATTAGAATTTAAATAGCCAAAAAAAAAAAAAAAAAAAGTCCTGCATTCATCCCTCCCCCACACAAAAACACATGGTCGTAGTACTTTACAACACAAGAGGAAGAGGGGCTTCGGCCAAGTCTCTCCAATCCAAACTATCTTAGCAACAGTCTCCTGGCCATTGGCTTCAGCCAGGTCCCCAAGAGCTGGGCTGTGGAAAACCTGCGGCTCCCAGAAAAACAGGAAGATGTTGGGAAGAGGTTTTCAATCTTCTTTCCTAGAGAGGTTTGTGAATAGCATCCAGGACCCAGCTTGGGCGTGAGGACTGAGCCACAACGGGCACACGGTAAAGGCTGCCTCAGGAGTTCATGGTCATGAGTGGGCCCAGGCTCACCGGAAGCAGTAATTGGTGTCCAGGGCCCGCTTCTTCCTCTGCCCGCCCTGGCCTGGGTTGTCCAGCCGGTGCGGGGGAATCATCATGAGGATGAGGTGGGGGTTGTGGTGGTCCTTCTGCTTCTTGAGGCGTCCGAGATCCCCACGGCCATGATCGTCCTCACTGTCCACACCTGTGGACGGGAAGGAGAAGGACAATCTCCTGTCTAAGGAAGGCAGAGTGGAGGCTGGCCTGCTGTTCTGTCCCATCACTGCCCGGGTGTCCTGCTCGTGAGGGGAAGGAGGAGACCAGGTGGAGGAACCGGCCTCACAGGAACTCACAAGACACCCAGAGTCGGATCCCCTCAGGTCTCCTCTGTGTACACCGTCCAGAGAGCAGGGAGGCCTTCTGAGATGCTTCCTGGGATGTCAGGCCCAAGAAGCTTCCATGAAGTACCCTGGGGGTGGGGTGGGGGCAGCTAACACATTGCTTTCGGTGTAGATTCTGAGACTTAGAATCTTGGGGTGTGAGTTTCCTCGTATGCTCTGAATTGATCAAGACAGCCCCTGAGTCCTCCCTATAATGTAAGGTGTCTTGGTTGAAGATACCTTTGATGGGAGCTGGAGGCACTAGACCATAACCGTTAACAGACACACGCTCTAGGAGTTTCAAAGTGTTTCCACTGTAACACTCAGATGAGATTACAAGGGATGTGACGCACAGATTAGCAAACAAACTCTGCAGGGCTGGGGTGGTGGTGGGGACCCTCTTTCATCTGGAAGGGAAAAGACTGGGGACTGAATTAGAGCGAGTCTCAACTAAAAGGAGATCTATTTCATGACAGGCAGCTGCCTGCTGCTGTCCATCTCCACCAGGGACAGGAGCACAAGGAGCTTAATTTACACAGTGACGGAAGGAACTTGTGCCCCATGAAGGCGCAGTAGGACCAGAAGACAAATGGGAGGCTTGAATCTGAAATTCCCTTTTCTGAGCATCTTTATGAACAAAGTAACTATTGACAGAGTGGGAGGGTTTCATCCTGACCTGGCCTGTAGGTTAGACCCCAAAGGTCTTCTGAGCTCTGAGGTTCTGTGACTAGGATGTTGAATGCTTGGTTTTAAAAAAGGGGGGGCGGGGGGCCCTCAAATCAAGGCCAAGAAGGGTAAGGAGACTGCCCAGGGCTGGCAGCCAAGAGAGGGTACATCTCTTCCCAGACAAACCTCTGACCTCAGGCTCTGGCATGGTTGGTTGGATCTTGAGGAACCGCCTGGCTTTGGGTGTGCCTCAGTTATCCAGATGGGACTGTTCAAGGAAGGGGAACGTCCCTGAGATCAAGAGACCGTCCAGAGATTGAGAGCCTCAGAAACAGACTGGAAAACCGGAAAACCTGAAAAGACTGTCAACTCTTTTTCCATCTTCATACAATTACTCTGAGCCCAAAGCCGTCATTCAAACCATGATGACTCCTGGATAGGAATCAGGTGGCCTCTGGGGCATTTAGGAAGTTCAGGAGTCAGGAAACGTATTCCCAGTCACCGCAGCAGTTCATTTCTTTTAGGGAGGGGGAAGACACCCACTATTTGTTGAGTGTTTACGGCACCGGGTTTCTCATTTGTTATCTCATTTAATTTGCGTGATGACCCTACGGAAGAGGTATTCTCATCTCTGTTTTACTGACTGAGCCCAGAGAGGCAGACTGGTTGGCCTTGACTGCACCCTTCTTCCCAACACTACACTGTCTTCCAGACACTCACATATTCTATCTATAATCAGAAAGTCACACACCTTGCTTTGGAGCAAAGCAGAAATACTTGAGTATAAAATAGTGGGCTATCTCTGTGACGGAGTTTGGTGGTTTTTCTTGGGGCTTGGTTGGGTCTCCTGTTCTACCCTGCCTCATTGACCCCCCCCCCTCCACCTACTATACACATCCATTTTGTTACCTTTGAATTTGATTTCCATCACCTCGTGAATGTTTTCTAGGATGTCTCCATTGGGCTGAAAGGTGTGACATGGACAGTGAATGCTGATTTCCAGACCCAAGTTGGACTCTGCAAAATAAGACACGGAATCAGTGAGAACATTCTTTACATGATGGGGAAGTGTGCCCATCACCACACACGGTTAGACAGGCCCTCTGCTCCCTTAGGCAGTCACAGGAGCCGAGTGATACTGAAGGTCACAGGAGCCAGAAGGTGCCACCAAAGCTGGAGTGGACCTCCACACGTGTCACCACACTGTAGGTGTTTCTTTTACGTCATGAACAACCAAATAAAGGCATAAATTAAGGAGCATTATAAAGGAGAATTTTCCTTTTTTTTGAAAGACTTATTTTTATTTGAGAGAGAGAGAGAGCATGGGCACATGTGTGCAAGTGGGGGTAGGGGCAGAAGGAGAGAGAGAATCTTAAGCAGACTCTGTGCTGAGCCTGGAGCCCAGAGAGGGGCTCGATCTCAGGACCCTGAAACCACAACCTGAGCTGAAAGCAAGAGTCGGATGCCTAAGTAGCTGCACCACCCAGGCATCCCGAAGGAGAATATTCACGGTCATCTATGTTCAAAGGATGGTATTGGGGAAAAAGACTGTCACCTGCCTACTTGGGGACAAAAAAACGAGGGTACAAGAAGGAAGAAAACTAACCATCACCCCCTTCCTAGGTGTTTGTTGGGAGAGGAGATGCTCAAGCCAACCTGCTATGGAAGGACGAATTGAGGGGCCGCGGGACCAGGAGAGAACTGGGAAGGGGGCTCACCGGGAAATTCGGAGCAGAGAGGCAGTGATGCAAAAGGCCACAAATTCCACCAGCTGGGCGGAAACTGGCGGAGTCTGAGCCATAGAATTAGAGAAGTTAGGAAGCAATGCTAGAGGCAAGATCACCTGCAGACAAACAGCCAAATCCATGTACGGGGAGGATGGCAGCCTTTCCGCCAGGGCCATGACTATGGGTGTAAATGGAGTTCAAGTTTCCGGAGGAGAGAAGACGAAAATCACAGTTAACTTTGACCGTATTTTCCTTAAGGGGTAAGGACAGAATGAGGTCAAAGTTACTTGGAAGTTTCTTCCCTGGGAATCCCTGTTCAGTTCCTGGGGAAGCTCGAGACAGGGATGGCTCGCTGTAGGGAAACGAGCCGCTCAGGAAGACCATTGTGAAATCAGAGCACTGGCCGGAGGACATGGCCAAAGGCCAAGGGCCCAGATGACACAGCTCAGAGAGAAGCAATGGGAGGAAATATGGAGATGCCAGGGTTTGCGGACAGATTCTCTGGTGTAAGAAGGCCAGCTGTGGCCCTTTCTTCTACCAGTGGTGTTTGTGTTGTACTAAAATGGGGGAAGCAAGGAGATTAGTAAAATGGGTTGAGCAAAGTGCAGGGAGAAAAGGAGGTATAAGAAGAGACACATTTTGGGGGTGCCTGGGTGGCTCAGTGGGTTAGGCCTCTGCCTTCGGCTCAGGTCATGATCTCAGGGTCCTGGGATCGAGCCCCCCGTCAGGCTCTCTGCTCAGCGGGGAGCCTGCCTCCCCCTCTCTCTGCCAGCCTCTCTGCCTACTTGTGCTCTGTCTGTCAAATAAATAAATAAGTAAAATTAAAAAAAAAAAAAAAAAGAAGAAGAAGAAGAAGAGACACATTTGAACTGAATCCGGAAGTTTTGTGCAGGGAGACCAGGAAGGGTCTGGGATACTATCAATTCTGGTGGGTCAGAGTCAGCTAGGGAAGCTCTGTCGACCCAAAGGGAGCAGCAGGTTGTGCTGTAGGAAAAGTCACGGGGGAAGGACCCCTCTTCAGGACCAGCATCTCAGCAAGCTGACTCATTTACTGTGCCCCGGGCCACCCTCCTTCTGTGGGAGCATCCAGCCCTGGGACCAACGTGCTGTCTTCTTGAAATCTGGTGTCATCAGGGAAAACCCCAGAGTCTAAGCCAGCTCAGCACCCTCTCATACACAGAATGACTCAAGCCCAGGGTTCCGATCACCATTAGGCAGGCCAGGATCCTCTCTCCATAAATTCCAGAACCCAGTCTCATCTGTCCTCCTCTAAGCCAGGGTAACCTCTAGGACACGCTGACCCTTGGTGAGCTTGAAGACTTCGGTTCCAGAAGGTTCGCTGTGGTGGGGAGGCATGGGGCTACGATAACAAGGAAGCTGATGGCCAGCCAGAGAAGTGAATAGAGACGGAGCCATTGGAGTGTCTTCTTCCTGGCTGAAGGCCACTGAAGGAAGGAGCAGGGGCAGCTGGGATGGGCCGCAGAGTACAACTTCTGTTACCCAGAAGGGCTCAAGGGAGGCCAAGAGAGACCGGCCGTTAGCAAGTTCTATGATTCTGAGTTAGAAAGTCAAGGTGCAGGGGCACCTGGGTGGCTCAGTCAGTTGAGTCTGACTCTTAGTTTCAGTTCAGGTCCTGATCCCTGATCTCATGGGTCATGAAATCGACCCCCGCAGCGGGCTTCGCACCTGGAAGGAGTCTGCTTAGATAGTCTCTCTCTGTCCCTTCCCTAGTGTGTGCTCGTGAGCATGCCCTCTCTCTCTCCCTCTCTCTAAAATAAATAAATAAATCTTTAAAGAAAAGAAGAAGAAGAAGAAAGTCAAGGTGCAGAGGGATGTGTTGGGGACAGTTAGGCTTAGGGGACAGGAGGTAGTGAGAGATGGAGGCCTGGCTTGGCCAACAGGCTCTATCTGAGTAGAAGATTCAGAGTGATGGCAATAATCACCAACATTCACTGAGCATTACATGTCGAGCACTGCTCTAAGACTGTATGTGTGGGAACTCATTCCATCTTTATAATAATCCTACAAAGCAGGAGCAATTATTAACCCACACCCATTAAAAGATAAGGACCCTGAGGCTCAGAGAAATTTAATGGCTTGCCCAAGGTACCCACCCAGTAAGTGGGAGAGCCAAGATTCAAACACCTGATGCCCAAGTCACACTCCTAATTGTTAGAGACAAGGAGGGACAAAGAGGGGGCAACAGAGATCACCAGGGAAGATGCCTGTGTTTTCGCAGGGTCGCCCCTCTCCTGAGCTATGATGCTGGCTGTGTTCCCTCCCCCTGTCGCTAGGGGATGTCTAGCTTTGCAGGGGGAGAAAGTGCCTACCAAGGAGAAGGAGCACAAGGGTATGAGGACCCAGGCCCCTAACTCTCGGTGGGGCTCCAGCCAGCCCCGGGACCCAGAAGGCAGGCTGGCAAGCTGGTGCACAGCAGGCTCCCAAGTGTTTGCTGAATGAATCCAAGACCCAATATGTGAATCAGTTTCCCCATCAGTTCACACCACCCACTGCTCCGTTTGGAGTCCACCTGCTACCTTGTTCGGGGCCACGAACTCTGAGGAGTCTCACGAGCTCTGCGGAAGTCAAGGTCTGCGTGTGATTCCCCTGTGCGAGGGGCGGGAAGCATCTGCCTACATGGGAACTGAAGGTTCCAATGAAGAACTAACCTCAGAATTGGCACCATAGGGATGGTGGGTGGGGGACTCACAGGTTTTATTACGAAATTATCTTTTTGATGTCTCAAGGAAGATGGAAATCATTCTCAGCGCAAACTTTGCATTGAGCTCTGCAGCTGGGAAAATAAGAGCTCCTTCAAGTGCCCAGGGCTTCAAAGAAATCCAGGTGGAGCTGATCAAAATCAGACAGGGAAGCTAAGAGATTAATTTCCCCAGTCTCCCCTTTCTGCAGCCATGTCAGGCTCTAGGTGGAGTGCCGTCTGAGTCAGACTTCCCAACCGTGCTGCCGACGGCGGGTCCCCATCCTGTGGGTGCTCCCAGGCTCTTGCCTTTGTGCTCAGTAGGGGAGATGGGACAGAATTCCCGGGTATCCCTGGAGTTGAGGCAGGACTTCCAGCCCACGATCAGCCGGCTCAGCAGCAGGCAATGCCCCTTCGATGAGGACTTGCAGACTCAGAGGCCTGTGGAGCCTGGGCAGGTTACGTAAGTGAGCAAAACGAGCCAGCAGATCATGCTCAACGGGGACTGCCAGCCTCGTTCTTGGGGGACAGCAGGGACTGAATGGTCTATGGGGATGTGAAGGACGCCCACCCCATTTTAAGAGGTGGCCACGACTCATCTCCTGTGGATCATCACTAGGAAATCTTCTTATTTTTCTAGAACATCCAGAAGTCCAGGTTTTATGTGACATCTCCTGACTTGAAGAACAGAAACTGTTGACTATTTCTAAATTTAAAATATCATGTAGGTCAAGACTTAGTGCTTTAGCCCCCAAACACCAAGACAAGTTTCCTAAAATGTCAATGACAAGAAAGGGCTGACCGGCTCCAGGGACTCTGGACATCAGCCTGTGGGTGGACTGTCCCCCCACGGCAGCTGATGACAGAAGAAAACTCTGGGCAAGACGGGAAGAAGGAACAGATGCCCGCCCGCCACAGACAGCCCCCGGCACTGAGCATCAGTCCTCGGGCAGTGTCCCCAAGTAAAGAAGGGGAGAAACAGCAGACGTGATATTATGAGACACCATGACTGCCAGTCGGGAGACTCCAGTCCTGATCTAGGCTGGATGACCCTGGCTAAGCCACTTAACCTCTCAGGGCCTCAGTTTCCTTATCTGACCTAATCAAAGACTACTCTTGTGTAACAGGATAAAAATCCATGGAGCTCTCTCTAGTCCATTTGATCCTTAAAACGGCTCTGTGAGACGTACAGGGAAGGAACCATGACCTGATTTTCCAGGTGAGGAAATACAGCAAGTGGTTGAGATATTTGGGACATGTGACATTTGATATGCATATTGTACAGCTCCCCTTGGATAACCACCAAGCCTTCCAAACTTAGTTGGCGCTAACAGAACTGGGCCCCAAACCTACTCTTGTCTCAGTCTTCCCGGTGTCAGTAACTGTTACCACCTGGGGGTTCCATCCACAGCCTCCGAGGCCATCCTAGCCCTCACACCGCTTACCTAAACAGCCCTTTGTATGGGCCAGACCTCCAAAATGGACAACAGACCCCAAGCATCTCCACGCCCACGGCTACCGCCCTCGCTGAAGCCCCAGCCACACTCATCTGGGCTGCTGCGGTACCCCCAGCTGGTTTTCCCTCTCCTTCCTTTGACTTCATGCAAGCAGAGGGATCTTTTCTTTTCTTTTAATTATTTTATTTATTTGAGATGGAAAGAGCACACAAGAGAGTGTGAGTGGGAGCAGAGGGAGAGGGTAAAGCAGACTCCCTGCTGAGCAGGGATCCCAACATGGGGCTCGATCCCAGAACCCTGGAATCATGACTTGAGCTGAAGGCAGACAGACACTCCACCGACCGAGGCCCCAGGTGCCCGCAGAGGGGTCTAAACCAAATCCCCTCACTCCACGTCCCAGCCCTGCTTATGATACTCCAAGGCTTCGCAATACACAGCGATTAGGTCCTCAAACCTGACCATGGCTCTTCAGGTCCTAAGTCATATGGCCCCAGCTACCTCTGGCCCCCAGCTCACTCCATTACAGCGGTGTACCCCCGTGTGCTGCCATCAGATCAAAGCACACCTGCTGTCACTTGGGGGCCGCACCTCCCCACCTCGTCTGCCCAGCACATCCTTATTCTCGCCTTCGCACGCCGGCCCTTCTCATCCCTCAGACCTCGGGGCACACATTCCCGCTCACAGAGAGCCTCCCTGAGCACCGCCTGCCGGATCCCACCCGTCACGGCCACACTGTCCCCTTTCTCTCTCTTGTATTCATCACTGACATTCCTGCTCCTCAGTGTGTTTTCTTGGTTACTGTGTGTCTCTCCCATCGGAACACAGCCCCATGGGAGACAGACCTCCCTGGTCGTGTTCACGACTGCATCCCCCCGCCCCGGTGCATAAACACGGGTTGAGTAAATGAATGAAGAGCACAGAAAGCCGGTGACAAAGCTAGAGCTTGAACCCAGATCTGGGACTCCCCTGGTTTTGTCCTGTTCCTTCTGTTTCGGGAACAACCAAGGGACCCGAGGTTCCCTCCAAAACGCTCAGACTAAGAGCCAACCTACCTCTTCGCAGAAGCCACTCACGCACAGTGTCGGTGACGTCAAAAGACAGCCACTCGGCGGTGCCCCGCGTGGGCAGATTCTTGCCGCCGATGTAGCGCTGTTTGGCAATGTGCTCATCGGGCCGGAGAATCTAAAGGGCAGAGAGAGGCGTAAGTACCCCAGGCCAGGACAAGGATGGCAGCCTAGGTCACAGTGCAGGAGCTCAGGCAAGGGCAGCAACAGGAAGCTAAAAACTCTGGAAGGCTCCCGCAAGCCCCTTAGTTAATGCTTTGTCCTCTCCAGGACAGACACAGATGCAAGGAGTCCGAGAAGGCAGGGTTCACAGCCAGGTCTGCTGAGCTCTAGCAGAGGGAAGGCCCAGAATGGTAGAGACGCTGGCTCTCCTGTCTGTGGGGCTTCTGCTCTGGGAGGGGCTCACCTGGAAGAGCTCGATCCTCTGCTCGCTGCGCTTGGAGCTGAGGTTGGGCACCCTCAAGACCCGGAATTCTGCTCGGAACAGGTTGGTTCCATTTTTCTCCACTGAGGACACGTTGAAGCGGAAAACCTTGGAGGTGATTCCTTTGGGGCAGACGGCCAGCTCATCTAGGAGATCAAGCAAGCGGGGAGAAGGGCAGCGTGAGCGAGACCTACAGGAGCCCATGTGGTGCCCGGGGACACTGGCCAGGTGGCCCAGGTCCTACCCACGACCTCCCTAGAGGCTCAAGGGCTCAGGCCTAAAGGTGGGGACAGGAGGAAGATCTGGGTGGCCCTGGAATCACACACAGGCCTGAGCCAGGAGCAGGGAGACCTGGGAGCCCCAGGACACAGGACCAATGACTGGCCGTTCAGAGGCAGTCACCCCACCTCCCATCACCTCGACATCCCAGCTCTGACAGGCTCTCCGGCTTGCTTTCCCGCTCTTTTAGAAGACACAGATTCTCAAAAGGTCGCAGCAAATGCCCCGAGTAGTTCAAACATCTCACCGCTGGTTGACCCATTCCTGCGTTCGTCCCTTCAGGCATTCATTCATTCATCACGTCTGGCTTGAGCACACACTGTGCGCCAAGCCCAGTGCTGACACTGGGAAGCAAAAATGAAGAGACGTGCCCCTGCCTTCAAGGAGATTCGGATCCAGGGGAGGATATTAATACAAAGACCCACATAACAGGACCAGCAGGAAAGTGCTGAGGGCTTTTGGAGAAGCCCAGGAGTTGCTGCAAAGGGATCCGAGGAAGGAGACAGCAGGGAGCAACTGAAGCGAAGAGGAACCCTTCGATGTGGGTCCTGCAGGAGGAAAGGGCTGGAGGATGGAGAGGAAGGGATTTTCCTTGGAAGGACTGCTGGGAACAAAGCGGGGAAGGGAGGAGGTGCCCGTGTGTAAGACGACCTGAAGCAGTCAGGTGAGGCCCCAAGACAAGGTCAGGACAGCCAACTGCGCTCTGCCCACAGGGAGGCTGAAATGTTAGACCAAGAGACTGGATTTTACCCCACCAGCTGGGAGCCATGGAAAGTGTTAGAGCCACGCAGTGACATAATTAACACCGTGTTTAGGCCCACTGAGGCAGCATCAGGATGGCAGAGGGCCCACATCTCAAGCCGGGCAGACCCACGGACATATCTTCAGACAGAGCTAGGCCATTCGCTCTGGCTCCTTTCTAAGGGTTTCTGTCCTTGACAGCATGTGGTATGCCAGCCTCTGCCACACTGCTGGCTGCTTCGTCCCTGTCCACAAGACACAGGGCAGCAGATGCTCTTTCCCATACCTCAGCACCAGACAAAGAGAAAAGAAAGATCCTGGGGCGCCTGGGTGACTCAGTGGGTTAAACCTCGGCCTTCGGCTCAGATCTTGATCTTAGGGTCCTGGGATCGAGCCCCACATCGGGATCTCTGCTCAGCGGGGAGCCTGCTTCCTCCTCTCTCTCTCTGCCTGCCTCTCTGCCTACTTGTGATCTGTCTCTCTCTCTCTGTCAAATAAATAAAGAAAATCTTAAAAAAAAAAAAAAAGATCCTGTCTTTCTCTCCTGTGTGCGTTACAACCTCAAGGTCGGAGCAGCATTAACACCCAGAGAAAAACTTTCTGCACGAATGGTAACAATAGCCAGAACCTGAAATTCAAGCTCGGAGACCCAGATTCCATACATAATGGACGTGGCTGGAATGAGCTCATCATCAGCCCGAGGGATGGTGTAGGAAGTCACGGACAAGGCGGGAAGGATCAGAGGCCTGGAAACAAGCAAGTGTGCTACTGATCTTTAGGAAAGGATGAGTGAGTGTTTCTGGAAATTGCCATCTGGTGGGCCTGACACTGGTTCTTTGAAAATTAATGGAACAGATGTTAGGAAAACAAATGTGTGAATGCCGCCTAACGAACCCTGATTAATAACTGCCTTCGAGAAAACAAATACTGCCAACTACTCCCTAAACCGTGTCAGAGAGAACCAGAAAGAGGCATCAGTGATAGCAATTTAATTGCTCAGCTTGCCAGTTTGGAAGCCTCTGGACGCGGACAAGCTCATGGACTGGCAACCCTGTCGCGCACTGACACACTCGGTTCTTGAAGGAGCTGTCATCGAGGCAGCTCCGGTTAGAACCCTACCTCCAGTAACTGCTGAAAGAGGGAGCAGAGTGTGTCCGTGTTGCTGTGGGAAGGAAAATGAAACAGAAAAGGGCACGTGCCCGTAAGCAGAGTCAGAGCGGGACCGGAACCCAGGAGGCCAGGACAGCAAGGAGCTAATACGGTCTTCGGGACACTCTTGTAGGTAACCATCCCTCCTTTGTGGCTCCCAGCCCATCAATCAGTCAATCAATCAATCCCAGTCCCTCAGACGGACTCCTCTTGCTGGGAACTTCAAGGAGATTTCAAGAAGGAGGTGGGGAAGATCTTTTTTTTTTTTTTTTTTAAGATTTTGTTTACTTATTTATTTGAGAGAGAGAGAGCACGCGCACATGCATAAGTGCGGGGAGGAGCAGAAGGAGAGAGAGGGGGAGAGAATCCCAAGCAGACTCTGTGCTGAGCACGGAGCCCGATGTGGGGCTCGATCTCATGCCCCTGAAATCACAGCCTGAGTCAAAACCAAGGGTCAAGTGCTCAATAGACTGAGCCACCCAGGCTCCCTGGGAAGTGTTATTTCTTTTACTTTTCTTTTTTTTTTTCTTTTTTTTAAGTCACCGGGACCTACAGATTTCTAGCAGAGTTAGAAGGGACATTAGGGTCATCTAGGGCAACCCTCTTCAGACGAAGACACCAATGTTCAGACGGGTCTTGCCAGACCCACTCATTAATTAGTTGATGCAAGCAAATTGACACCAGCAAGGAAAGCTCAGACATAGAATTTTTAGTGATTACAAGGGAACTGCCTAGGAGAGAGAAAAAAAATGAAAATATAACCTTTTTGGCATTTAAATCCACAGAATAATGATGGTATTTTAAATCATCTGTGGACTGAGATTATAAATAAACAAACTGTAGTAACACCACCTTACACCGCACAGACCTCTTCCCAACTCACCTGGCCCTCTAACAGTCCTTGAGGAGAATGAGCATAAGTCAAACTGACCATTTTACAAAGGAGAAAAGTGAGTGACCTTCCCAAGGTCACGCAACCAGCGGGTGGCAGAGGTAGTATTTGAACTCAGCCAGGTCATCTGACCACCACTCTCTTCTTAAAATGGGGCCTCTGGAAGTTGGGGGGAGGCCTAAGAGATCCTCTAGTAGAGGCACAGTTTCACCAAAAAAATGAAAGCTTCCGTGGAGCGGGCCTAGAGTACCAACTTAGGCCCAAGCAACAGCCCATTCCCGCTCAGTTCTGTGGGTAGGCCTTGCATCTTCAGGACGCTAGAGGGGCCACCCTGAAAATTACATTAGGACCAACTTTTTCCACTAGGCAAAAAATAAATTATATACATATATGGAGGCGAGTTTCTCTTTTTTGCTATAGGGAGAGAAAAATAAGCAAAGGATATTTCTGTAGAGTCTTCATGAAAAAATGTGGAAAGGCTGACTATGTTTTGACCATGCCTCTTAAAATGCTTTGAGACACCGGGACTCCTGGACGTGCCTTTGTGTCTATACGTCCTCTCTGCCTGGTCCCTGCTGCTCCCAGTGGCGGCCCACAGACACCAGCCAGGCGCTGCTTCTCACCCCCTGCCCCTTAGAATCACGTGCAGAGCCTTACAAACCCAAGACTACCTCGGAGTGGGTGGGTCCAGAGCTTGTTGTTGTTGTTTGTTTTTCCCCCTATCTTTCTTCTCTTTGTAAAGGTCTTCAGATGATTCTAATGGGCAGCCAGGGTTGAGAACCACGGTTTACAGTGCTCTGCAAAGGGTACCATGGCTTCCAGATGTTCTGGAAGTTTGAAAAACCACGCTTCAGTGATTTAACCTTTAAATAGGTTGACCTTTCATAAGTGTTAGAAACGCAGTTTGGCCAATGCATCATTTAAAAATTTTTTTGAATTAGAAGCCCATCGATATTTCAAGCCCAGGGTAAAAGGTGGGAAATTTGACAAAAAGAGCCAGGTTTTCGGCACTTCTGGCAAACGGCCAGGTTTAGTGAAGCTGGACCCACATTCCTAAATGCAGAAATCGGCAGGAACTGAGCAGTGGGTGCTTTCTCTGACCAGGGCGTGGGTGCTTCCGGCTCCCCCCAACCCCCATCAGCCTCCCACACACCCTGTGCTCTCCTTGACCCCAAGGCCAAGGGCCCTGTGCGCTTTGTCATGGTGCTGGTGCTGAGGCTTTTCTTCCGGATCCTTTGCATTAGCTGTCTCGTCTCTGTGGACACTTGGGTTGGCAGCCTCTGAAGGAAAGGTTTCGCCCAAGTACACTGAGTTGTAAGCTTCAGGGGGTTAAGAAGCAGTGGGTGCTTTTTGGACATACAGACTCCCCGGGACCCCGCCCGCCGATTCTCATTCTGGAAGGGTGAGGTTGGGCCTGGGAATCTACATATTTCCTACTCACACAGCCCCTGGACCGTTCTTGGAGAAACACTGACCTAGTGTGCCGAGGGCATTGGCACTGAGAACCAATGAGTTCTCGGGCTACGAAAGGTCTTTTAATTTTCGGAATGAACCCAATCTCAATGTAGCATCCAGGAAAGAAAAGGCCAACATATCAAATTTTCTCTTTGCTCAGGATCTCTGGGTTTGCTGGCTGTCTTCACGCCAGCCTTGGATGAAAACAAGCGTCTCCCGCCAGCCACGGATAATTACAGGCCAGAAGTTAAAATGACACCCACCCTGGTGATATCTTGTTAACAAGGATGACAAAGGAATGGAGAAGGCGGCGTCTTTCTCCATCGCGGATGTCAGAGAGAACCTCTCTATGGCCAGCTCCCGGTGAATTATAAAAGGATTGACAGAGGCTTGCCTTCCTCGCGGAGACTGTTGAATGGTCCCAGATACAGACACAAAATTGTTTCAGCTGCAAGAGCATTTGGAGATTATCTCTGACTTCCCAGATGAGGAAACTGGGCTCAGATAGGTGACCAGTCCACTGCCCCCTGGTGTGGCTGTTTAACCAACTCGAGGCTTTTCCTTAGATAAAGAAAACCCTTTTGTTGAATTTGGGAGAACATCTGCGGTGGTATGAATCCCCTGGCCCTAACAACAGGCAGAGCTAAGACAGAACACGCCCATTTGGCCCTGCGCGATCTGCCCTGGGGTTACTAACAGCTCCTATCCGCCCTCCCCCAACCATTGCTTTGGTCCAATATGTGATTTATTCATATTGTAAATCAAGGTCGTATTGAAGCCTTAAGGTTAAAGGTGGGACTTGCAGTGTTTATGTTACACACCGGCATTGGTGCCTAACGATATGCATTCTGCAGGCAGAGCGTCTAAGTTAGAGTCCCTGCTCTTAGAGCCAAATTACTTAACTGCATGTTTCTGGTTCCTCATCTGTAAGGTAGAGAATTGGGGTCCCTATCTGCCAGAAGATGGGCCCTCCCCTCTTTGCTCACCTTGGTGCTCTTTTTCCTGCCCACCCCCCGGAAATTACTCCTTACCACACTTACTCCAGGCTCCCCCATCTCCCTGCTGTCACTCCTCTCCAAAGGACTATCCACTGTGTACAGGAGTGGGTGGGCAATGACGAAATGTGGAAGGGAACTCTATCTCATCACTTCCCCAGAAGTTCTGGCACCCGGACCCTGCCAGCGTCCTGCCGCAGAGCCAGTGCCGCCACTGGCCAACCCTCACGAGCTCCGGACAGGCTTCCCCTACGCTAAGCCTCTGAGGATGGCTTTCGGCTCCTGCTCGGCATCTGCCCACTGCCTCCTTTTAATTAGCGTGTCTTCTGCATCTGCCTCTCCAGGGCTGGCTTGGCACCTGACCAGCTGCAGGGCGGGCCCAAGCCACGTCTGCTCAGCCCCTGTGTCACCTCCAGCAGCTGCAGAGTCTGGGCCTGCTTCCTGTGTGCACCTGCAAGCCTCCACGGCATCACCCATGTCCCTCATGGCCCTAGGTCCTCCCCAAGATCTTACACAGCATCTGGATCCTTGGGCTGGATCTGCTCCCAGACTGACCAGGCTCTGTGGCCCGAGGGTGACCGTCCCCCGCCTGCCCCAGCTGCAAGGTCCTGGTGCTGCCGGCTGAGCTGCCCGGCATCCGTGTGCCCTTGTCCTGGCTTTCCCCAGGGCTGCCCCCTCTATGTGCCCTGAGCTGCTGCACAAAATCCATGTCCACTGGCACCTGTATGCCCTTGCCTGCATCTGGCCCATTCATTCTGGGCTTGGGATTTCAGGCTGGATGGGGCCCTTGTGACTCAGAGTCCCTCCTCCCCGAGACTCCACCTCCTGGCCTGGATCACTGAGGTCTGAGCCCTTCTCCCTCACCCTGAGCTCTCTTCAGACCTCTCTTGCAGGCCTCAGCTGTCCCTATCCGTGGCCACTGCGTCCTGACTTGGCAGTTGCCAGGGGCTGGCGGGGGGGGGGGCGGGTTTCAGCGTCCCGGTGCCTCTGGGAACTGCAGGCCCCTGGCAGACCCTTAGCCAGCCCCACCTGGAGGACACCGGGGAGGGAGCCTCGTACTCTACTCATTCTGCCTCGTACTCCGGCTTCCGCCCCACACGGTAGCCACATCCTAAGGCAAGGCGCTCCAGGCAGCCACAGGAAACGGGAGTGGGGACCCCTCGCCAGGAACCACAGGCTCCTGGATCTGGCCTGGGCCCGCTCCCAATAGGGCCTTTTGCCCCTTCAGCGAGAGCTGCTCCACCCACCGGCCACCTACCCCTCTCCCTCCTCTTCAGCCAGGTTCCTTTCAACCCCTGCCATCCCCACCCACCCCCAGCTGACCCCTCTCACCCTCCTCCTCCCTCCCACTCTCCCACCCCTACTCCCACTGCCAGGTGAGCCCGGGAAGGAGAGGGAGCCATGGAGTCAGGGTGGCGAGGACACCTGCTGGTAGGAAAAGCAAACAGAGCTGTTCCCAGAGTCCGTGGCCTGCCGTGGTTCACATTCCTCCTTCTTGGGCTGTCAGTTTCTCAACATCTGCCAAATCTCTCTCTCTTCTCTCTCTCTCTCTCTCATATTGAGGTTTTTTAAATGTCCGTTCAGCAAACACACATGACTTCCACACGTGTACAAACACACACACGGACGTCTCACCCAGAAGCCTCCCAGCTTCTCGGCACAGACGGGAACCTCTTGGGAAGACACACTCCCAGACACATGTCCTCTCTGCACCTACAGCCACACCTCCCACCCACTCTTCCCGTGACACGCAGACACAGAAGGGCGGCCAGCAATCATCGACACGTCCAGAGCCACAACCCTGCTTTCCCCGTGTCCGCGGGCCTGGAAGCCGCCCATTTTGATCCCAGGAATCTGTCTACTGTACAAAGCCTGAAAGCACATGTACGTATGAACAGAGGTGTGACCATGCTCACGGCTCACGTGGGTCACGTGTGTGGCACAGACCAAGGGGCCTGGACAGCCAGAGGCTGCGCCTTGCCCGGGCTTCGAGAAGCTTGACAGACATGAATCTGGGGCAGGTGTCCCCTTCTTCCCAAGAACGGGAAAGATTAAACCACAGACGTGTCACAAGGAGTTGTGAAAACAGAGGAGAAGACCCAGGTCTCCAGACTCGTGGAGCCAGAAGGGCTTTCAAGAGATTCGTCCCTGCCCTCCCGGGCACCCGTCTGCTCAGTTACCTAGCCCCTCACACGTGCCAGAGCACAGAGGTTAACGGGACAGCACAATGTAATTCCAAAGTCAAACCAGTCCAGGGTGTGATGGCAGTTCAGCAAGCCACTCAACCCCAGGGCTCCCGGCCTCCCAAAAGCCCCCTGCTCTTACCAGAGTGGCTCTGTCTCCCTCCCCACCCACCCACCCGGCCCCAACTGTGCATCACACCTCCTGAGCCTTGGTGTGGGTGAACCGGGGGCACCCCCCACCCCGCTCAGAGGCCAGCACTCGGGGCCCCCCCTCCGTGGGACTCCCTACTCCAGACCCTCCAGAGCAGACACCCCAGCGAGAATTTGGACTTACTGTGCTCCGCCAGCCCCTGGATCATGTCGAATTTATGGATTTCTTTGGCATAGTACTCCGACTCGGTGTTTTCCTGAGTGCAGCTGTCCTCTCTCTCCCCCTGCATCTCCTCCAGCAGCTCCCGGGTGCTGTTGTAAAGGGCCAGGACCTGGTAGGGGACGTGGGTCATCACCGATGGCTCGGGGGGACTGGTGAGTCTGAGTTTGCTCAAGATCTGTCCCCTAATGGCTTCCACCCTCTTCTTCTTGATGTGGCCAAAGTCCAAGGTGGTGCAAGTGGACAGAGAGAGGCTGACCGTGGCCAAGTTCAGCAGGGCCAGGACCACCAGAGCCCTCTGCAAGTGCATCTTCCTGCTCAAGCTGGAGAGAGCGGCCGGGGGGGCTGCAAGGCCCAGCGAGGAGGAGACCCCAGCAGTCGTGCAGAAGGAGGGAGGAAAACCAGGCGGCCTCCCTAGATCCCGAAGACTGAGGCTTGGCAAGAAGGTGCATGAACTCACTGCACTGCGAGAGCTTCAGGACTTCCAGGAAGCGCTGGCAACCCTGAGCGCGAAGAAGCCGACTGTGTGCCTTGGAGCTCTGGGTTTCTTCTCCATGTGTCTAAACAGGTTCTGCGGGGCTCTGACTCCCAGCAGGCCAGGTGGAGGGCAAGCAGAGGGCTGGGAGGGGTGGCAAGGCAGCTGGGAGTGGGAAGGGAGCTGGAGTTTTTCCTTAGGTAAAAATAAATAGAGCGGATATCTGATATTGCCAAATGCCGCTTGGCGATGGGGAGAAAGTGGGTATTTTAGAGAAGGAGCAGGAGGACCATGGCTGGGTCCCAAAATCAAAATCCTCGCCTTGCCCTGAAGGAGGATAAGAAAAGAGAAGGGAAAAGAAAAGGGGGAAAAAAATGTTTAAAAAAAAGTCAGATCGCCAGTGAGTAGGTGGGGAGAGGCAGGGCTGGGCTGGGCTGGCCCCAGTAAAGGTGGGGGCAGCGCAGGACACACTTGTCTCTCGGGCACACCATTCATGCTTTCTCTTTTGTTTACACTTCCTCGGGGGCTTTCTAAACGACTTTGTTCATGCTGCCTCTCGTCTTCATTGGCTGGGAAGTGGGGGTATGTGCAATTGGAAGGCAGGGAGGACAGGCCCCTGGAGAGCAGCCCCAATAATCCACTTGGACGCCCAATGTCACCAGCACCTTGGCTTGTCTTCTCCCTCGGCCATTGCTTCTGTTCCCTGCTTCTCTTTAAAAAAATAAAAAGGAAAAGGAAAAGAAAATAGCAGCCAGTTCCCTGCACGCCTGCTCCGGAAAGCTGTTATTCCTTCTTTCTCAGGCTTCTTCGCCTATCTCTCCCCTCTCTTGCTCATTCCCTTGGCCTTGGCTTTCTGCTTCCCTCCCTTCCTCTCCCTGCTGCTTCTCCCTCTCCTTCTCCCTCTCCCTCGCTCCCTCTCGCTCCTCTCCCTCTCCCTCTCTCACACACACATGCACACACACTGCTTTCTCTATTTCTCTCTGCTGAAATTTTATACCTCCCTCCCATGACGTCTCTGGCCCGGGTGGGGGAGGGAGGGACCAGCGCACGCAGCCTCTTTTGCTGCACGATTTTAATGTTTTAAACAGGCACAGGAAAAGCCGAGCCCGTTTGAAAAATACTTTGCGAGCCCTCTCGTTCGACGTGGTAACTGAACTTTTTTTCCCCTCTTGGAGTCACTCCTGCTACACGTTGACTGTTTTTCTGGAAAGTTACTCCGACGAATCCCTTCCCTCCTTCTCCCCCAGCTCCTTCGCCCTCTCGCCAGCTGTCAGTCCGTCCTCTCTACTCGGCCAGTCTCTCGCTCCTGCCCCGGCCCGCCCCCACCCCCACCCCACCCCACCCCGGGCACAGCGGCCCTCCGGGCAGGGGCGCGGGGCACCGGGCAGGGGCGCGCTGGGGGCTGGCGCAGGGGCGGCTGTGCCCACCCTCGGGGATGGAGGCGGGCGGCGCGGGAAGCAACGCCCGGCCGGGGAGCGGGGTCAGAGGTGGGCACGGCTCCACGGTGATCCTGGCCCCGATTCTTCACGGACAAGCCTGGAGTCGGGCGGCGGGCTGAAGCTTGGAGATGCTCCAGGGCCATTGAAAATGGTGGCGTTTTCCGGCAGACCGAGGGTGCCCTCTGGCGAGGCGAGCGCGCCAGTGAAGGAGCGCGGCGGGCCGGGGCCGGGACACCGGGGAGGGCTGGGGGTGGGGCTGGGGGGTTGGAAAAGAGGGGCCGCGGCAAAGGGCGAGGGAAGCGACACCGGAGCCTGGGGGGACGGCCTCGCTCTCGGCCCGACGCGCGCACAAGTGCACCTCTCTCCTCCCGGGGCCCCGCTCGGCAGCCGCTCTCGCAGAAATGTTCTCCAGATGTTCGCAGCCTCCCTCCCCGCCGAGGGTTCCGCAGGGAGCTGCGCCAGCGAGCGCAAAGTCAGCAGTTGGCCCCAGCCCATTTCCCAGATGGGTGAGGGGAAGTTTTCTCTCCGTTCGCTCTCGTTGCTCTTCTCCGCCTAAGCTTCTAGGTCTTTTCCCACGAGAAGCTCAGAGAGGGCAAGACACGTTGCTTTCCGGCAACATAGGACTTGCCTCTGACTTGATCTCTTTCCTGGGAATCAGCGCTGCTACCCGCCACCCCACCCCACCTCACTCAGCCTTCCTGGACCCTTCCTGTGAGGTCTGCTTCCTGCTCCTGACTCCTAGGCTTCTGGGATGTTCACGGAATGCCCAGAACAGTGGTTGATCAGCTTACAGTTGAGGAAACTGAGGCACAGAGGGATTTTTTTTTTTTTTTCCTCTAAAGGCCACCCTGATGGGTGGTGGAAGCGATATTTAATCCAGGCTCTCTAGTTTGGGTAAGCATTGTCGTCCTTTGAATAACATGTGGAAATCTAGGTGTAGAAAGCTCAAAAGTAACTTACCTAAAATATATAGGTAGTAGGTGTCAACTCCGAGATTTGGACCCAGGAAATGTACTGCCAGGCTCTATGCATTTTCCTAGGCAATACTGCCTCTGAAATTCAGCCATCATTTGAGAAATATTTTGACGTTCTCTGTATGCCAGGCACTGTTCTGGGCTCTGTGGTTGTAGCCCTGAAGAAAACAAACTAACAAAACTCTTGCCCTGAAGGGACCTTACATTAGGGGTGGGGGGAGGAGGGGCAGGGAAACTGGCAGTAAATCAAATAATTAGGTATGATGATAAAAGATAAGCGTCATGGTGGAAAATAAAGCAGGAAGGTAGATTAGGGAGTGCCTAGGTTGGAACTGTTGAAACTTAAAATAGGGTAACAGAGAAGACCTTACTGAGGCCTTTAAGCAAACACCTGCAAGATGGGAGGAAAATTATTCAAGTTCTATCCATTGGGACTTCCAGTCAGTCTCCAGGGATGCGGCCCTGGCATGTGTATTTTTAACAAACCCCGCAGTTGAATCAGGTGCTCAGCGAGGTCTAGAAGCCACTGCCCTAGGGCTTCTTTCTGCTCAAACTGAGCACCTTGCAGTGCACCTTTTGCTTTCAGGAAGTCAGGGAGGAAGTGGGAGTTAGGGTTTGGAAACTGGCAGTAAGGTGGTGGTAGTGTAGCTATGAGCTCACACCAAACGGAAAAATCCAAAGATGAATCCCTTCTTCCTCATCTGGTGCCAAGGAATACGAAAACAAAGGATTCATGGGAGCCTACGTTTCATCTGTCTTGGATTTTGGCAATGAATGCTTCATCAGATTAAAATCTAAATGGGTATTCTCAGGGAGGATCAGATCTTGGGGGTCATCTCCAAGAGCAATTATGAGGGAGGAGACTGAGGTCCAGAGAGGGCTCTGCCTGGCCACACAGGTGATTATCAGCAAAGCTAGGATGAGCCCACAACTCTCCTGACATCAAGCTGTGCTGTTGCTGTCACCAGACATGCTAACACACGGCCCTACCCAGTAAACATGTGTGGGTGACTGGTTGAACTGAGTAGTTTATTGGGTATTTAAAAAGGCTTTTTAGCAGTGGGCATCTAGGTCTTACCCTAGTATGATAATGGGGATATTGCTCACTTTCAGGACCCTGAGGCCATCTTCTGGCAGGGGGGCAGAGGGTGTCTAGCTAACCAGCACCAGGGACCTGGCCCGTGGTGTTGACTCAGGGATGTTACATGGAGAGTCAATAAAGACTCCACTCGGTTGCCCCATTAAGCTGGGAATTTGAGGGACATCTTCCTCTGCTGACCTAGGAATATGGCTGGTACCCAGGAATATGTGCAGGAGAAAAATACTCTAATAAGATCTGATATCAAAAAGGCATCAGGCTCTGCTGCTTGGCACTCAGATGATTTCCCTCAAGCAATCTCTTTGCACCTTAGGGTCCTCAATTTTTGAACAGAGATATCACTGATGCTCATTATGTGGGGGTGTTGGAAGGATAACTTGACTTTTCAATGTTATCACTACTTAGGTATTTGACATTTTGGTTCCGTCTCTCTGTCAACTTCTTGAAGGCAGAGATTATGTATATTGCATGTTCCATGAGAAACTATTTATTTGCACCTGACCACTCCCCCCTCCCGTGAGCCTGTTTTCTTATCTGTCCTGTGGAAATAATAGGCGCACCTTGCTTTTCACATAAGGTTATTATACCCTTCCCGTGAGCTAATAACTGAGGAAGTCCTTTGTTCATAGTTAGGGGCTATATAAATAGGAAGGATCAATTTAATCACTACTATTAGTAGTAGGCTTTGCACTTAATAACCTATATTTAAACAGAGCTACACACGTAGACAGTTCCTAAAGACTAACATTTTTTTCGCTGTCCCATAGGAGCGGCCCTAGCAGGATTTAATAGCTGGGGGTTTCTTCCAGAAGTCAGGCAAAGCAGTTTAGGAAAGTTTGGGTTTAAATTCAGAGGTGGCACAGGGACTCCAGGAATCCTGCGGCGGATCCTTTAAATATTGAGATGAAAGGGCGGAGCCGTCGTCAGGGACGCGACTGCGCCGCTTGGTTTCCAGGAAATGACCTCAGGCGGCCGCGGAGATGGAGGATGTGCTGGACATAGGCGAGGAGCGGCGCAGCGGCTTGGCCACCTCCGTGAGGACCGACTTGGGGGCTCGGGGCTAGGATTTGGCGGGTGGTGAGGGGCGACCTAGCCGGCCCGGCTTCCCGGAGGCGCCTCGGCCCGGCCTGTCCCAAGTGGCCGGAGCGGGCGGACGCGGAGCCGCGCGGGGGTGAGGCCGGTGAAGAGGCTGCCTCAGCCGCCCCGCCCCCGAGGCAGCTGTGGGCTCCGCCGCTACGGGCCTGGGGTTTGCTTTCTTTAAAATTCTCTGAAAGCAAAAAAACAGATCCTGCCCCTGCCGGCCTCTGGGACCAGTGGGAAATT